GTGGATTCTGCTGATTTGTCACAGCAGCGTCAGGTCCGTATCTCCCGCGAATGACTCCCTGAGACGTTCCATGCTCAACCTGACCGGTGAAAATCCCCCCTGTAGGGGAACATCCGGGGTACGTGTTGATGGTCCCCCTCGGAACTGCTCGTCCGACTACGGGCGAAGACATTGCCCTTGGTGGCATTGGCCCGGCAGCTCCGGCGTGGGAACAGAAACCAGAATTCCCTTGGTGCGGTTCAGGACTCCGATGTGACGGATCTCCACGTGATGGCCCGGATCCAGGATCAGGAGCAGTGCCATCCCGCTGATTATGATCAGGAATGCAATCAGGTCCTCCAGGCCCCGCACTGGGACCGCGATGCTTAGTCTTCCCGTCGGGGTCAGCTCTCAGACAACCGAGGCAAATAGGTCGAACACTCGATCCAAAACGGCGCACATCGTCAGGTGAGGCGATGTGTTGATCGCAGTACTCGTCCTTGCATATGAGACACCTCGCAAGTCCGTGTCTCCCCCCTCTTCCTCTGCATGCGCGGCATCTAGGAAACTGATCGCTGCACTTGAAACACGAGTTACAATCATGGTCAAAGCAGTCTTCGCAGACTGACTTGCCGCAGCTTCGGCATGGATAGCGAGGTTCCCGATGCTGTGGATGCCCGGGCTCCTCATGATCACACCTGGCCCGGTTATCAGGGGCAGCGCCGGCAGCCCGAGCAATGGCCCTCGTTCTAGAGGGATCCCTGCCGAAGATGGGGGCTGATGGTGACGGTGGGGGTGGCCCTGAAGGAGGTGGAGGTGGAGGAGGCCTAGCCGAGCTGACGGTGCGAGCATCACGAGAGGGAGAATCTCTAGGAGCCCTTCCCTGGGTTAAGGGATCAGTGTCTCCAGATTTCTCCCATGGTCCCGTTCCGGCGGTCGAAGCAGCGCCAGCACTTGAAGGCCCGCAGGCAGCAAGAGGTTGCTCCCTCAACTCAGCGATCTGCATGTTGATCTCATTGACCCTCAGCACAAGCTTCATAAACTGCTCTTGCATGTCCCTCGGATTGGGGCCTAAGCTTTTGTCATGAAGGTCCTTGACGCATCTAGCAATACGGGACAATTGAAGCTTGAACTCCTCCTGTTTCTGTGAGTTCTCATTGAGAGCTCCGGACATCCTATCACTGAACTGCTTCAGGTCGGTCGCAGGAACGAGCTGCTGGATATACGTCTCGACGTTCCCACGGATGGTTCTTTCCCTTGAGATGGTTCCCTCAATGTCGATGACACTGCGAGAGTTCGCCTCAACTTCGTCCTTGATTTTCCGAACCTCAGCCTCAAGGGCCCCGATCTCAGAGAACCTAAGGAGCTGGACCTTGACGTTCTCAAGTGATTCGGCCTGCTCGCGAAGTTCAGCAGCGGATATGACGATCGAGTCAGACCTCTCATCATACATCTTGAAACGCTCATTCATCTCCTTCTCGCTTCGGGCGACCCACTCGTGGAAATCACGGAACTTGGCCTCGTGTTTTGAGAGAGTTCCGGCAACGGCAGAGAAAGATGATTCAACCTTCTTCTCGAAGGCGTCAACACGGTTATTGATCTTCTTGATCTCACCGACGCAAGCGTTGATATCATCCCTACATGAACGAATCTCAGTTCTGCATCCCTGGATTTCGGCCTTGCACCCCTTGACCTCGTTGTGGATCGCGAGAAGCAGTCGTTGAAGCTCAGATGCAACAGGATGGCCGCCACTTGTGGAAGCAGACGGAGCAGGACGACTATCAGCGTCATGATCTCCGCGCCTATTTTCTTCCCTGTCGGGAGTGCAGCCCGGAGTTCCAATTTGAAAGAATGCGGGGACGAGGGAGTTGTTGACCGGTTGATTTGAAGGAAGCCCTCCATGACCAGGAGCAACAGTGCTAAGTCCAGGTCTCCGATTCCTGGGCGTAGAGTTAATCCCGTCATCAGTCTCCTTCTCAGACATCGGGGCATTGGAGCTGAGCCCAGACCCCGCAGAGTGGATAGGAACGTCAATAGGATCGTGATGAGCTGGGGGATTAGATCGCAATCGCAAAGCAGCTTCACGTCTCTCGGGTGACTCAGAGCTCCTCTTTGTGGCTCGTGAGTCAGTGCCGGTTTGTCCCGACATGTTATCAAAAGATGACGACCCGCGAAGTTGAGCTTGATCTGGATCAGGTTGAGTGAGATCAAGCCGTTGAGCAACGTCACCAATGAGTGGCTTGGGGGAAAGTACTTTGGCAACGCGGCTCGGCGGGAGCGATGTCGTTCGTCTCTCTGGTGTGACCTCGGCCTCATCGATTACATCAAGGATCCCAGGGATGGTTTCATCATCTTCATTTCCTCTCCTGGGTGGCTGATGGAAGGGGATGTCGAGGAGGTCGAAGGGAGTAGAGCCAATACCAGGTGTATCCTGCTCGGATCCATCACTGGTACGGTGGCTGGACTGCTCTTCGAGGTCGATGACGTCGGGGGCGGACTCTTTTCGAGTCTGACGCCGATTGAACGCCGCGAAGAGACCGGCATGGCTTCTTGATGAAGTGGAGGAAGGATTTGGGCCTGCTGTTTCGCGGCCCGCGTCCGATCGATTAGTACCTGATGCCCGATTTGGCGGATTTGAGCCCGCGTTGTAGCGGTTCGCATCCCGACCTCGGGTACCTGAGGAAAGCGGTGGATTCGGACCAGCGTTGTAGCGGTCCGCATTCCGGTCGCGGGTACCTGACAGGTGAGATGATACTGCGTCAGGGATAAAGTCCATATCCGCCGGACTGGGGTGATCGTGAATGATGTCAATGTCGGATGAACCTGAGACGGGAGGAAGGCCAGCTATTTGCGGCCAATCCTCAATCGCCCGTTTGCCCACCTCGGGTTGGGCCGAACCTGCAACATGAGAAGGGGAGAAATCTTCAATGGGGTCATTTTCTCCATCATGAGGAAAAACCCTGAGTAGGCTCATGCGTAGGCAGGGCATCAAAGATCTGTCAATTCGGGAAGGCTGAGACCTCCAATCAGCATCAAAAAGGGATTGAAAATCCAGATTCCCAACCGAGATGGGGGCACCCGAGTTGAAGTCGAGCCGACCGAAATCAGGCGGTGTAGCCTGCGATCCACTCCCGAGGAGCTGGTCAAACTGATCCCATGTAAGGGACCATGATTGAGCCGGCTCCGGATGAGCAGCATGATGGACAGCCCGGTCCTCGATCTGGAGCGCCACGAACGGAACAGTAGGCGAAATCGATGAGGGCACCTGATTTGGAGGAACCTCAGCCTCTTCTAGAGGGGGTCCGTCCTCGATCTGAAGCACTGCCGCCGGGATAGGGGCCTCCGCATCCTCATCAAACACGACCTGAGAAAGGATCCAATCGTCCGTGATCACCCCGGGATTGGGCTCTGCGCCCACCATCGGGGGAATGGGCCACAGCCGGCTGTCTAAGCCGGGAGCAGCAGGCGCGGCGTTGCCGCGAAGGGCGTTGGCCTCGTCGTCCACGAAGCCCGGCCCACGATGTGAAGCTCCGGGGGACGCCATTGCTCGTACAAGTAGGCGATGGGAGCAGGTAGCGGGTCACGTCCCGCAACCGGATCACCAGCCCCAGCTTCTAGCTGGTACGGCTGATAACCTGCAGTTTTGGGCGAACACGAAGTAGCCCAGGGAAGCAAATGAGCACAAGGTAGATCACAATGTACCCAAAGCACCCGGAAACACAACTCGGGTGAAGCTGTGGATGATGACCGGGTTGAGGATGTGACGGTGGAAAAAGACGGTGTTTGGGGAGGTTGGGAAATAGGTTGCAAAAGTAGAGAAGTCAATCAAGCCCAGGATGACCTCGACGACCGACCACCTACCTCCTAACACCGGCGCCCCGCAGCCCCACGGTTTTCACCTCGGGGACGAAGAGTGCCGCCGTGTTATGGCGGGTGCACGTGGGTCCGAGATTGCCCTGACGGGAGGTTGAAATCTTGAGCCAAACGGCCATTCGGCCGCTTTGCCACATGATGAAACGACACGTGAACAAAACACACCTTTCACTGACTATTCCACACTGTAAAATCTCTGGTCATCAACATAAAAGTGCCTGATTCACTTCTCCCTGTCATCTATTCGCTCGCTTCTAATTCACGAACGAGCGGGTTAGAAGGAAATCATTGACCTGGCTCCAACCGTCACCAGATAACCTCCAAAAGAGACCCAACAAACACACAAAGAAGAGACTCATCTATAGACAAGACACATATCACCTAATATTGGATCAACTTGAATCCTTTTCATCATCAACCTTCATTCACTTACAAATGAGACCTAACAACATCGCACATCAGGCTCTTCTTACCACTTCCGACTCCGCTCTTTCTTGCGTGTGTTGGGGGGAATCAAAAGGACACCAAC